GGTCTTGTTTTGGCCTCCTAAGGGGATCCCCCCCCCCGCCCCGCCCCTTCGTCCGCTCCATTTGGGAGAGGTGAACTCTCCTCTTGCGTCCGTGCCCCCTCCCCTCCCCTTTCCACCTCTCAAGTTCAAAGTTCAAAGTGTTTATTTTGTCATATGCACAGTTAGGAAACGTGTTTCCCTGTACAATGAAATTCTTACTTTGCCGTCCACATGAATGCCACAAAATACAAATGAAATATAAAGTAGATAACACAAAACCTGAGGCACTTTAAGCAGCAACAGATGCAACAGTATAATAAAAAAATATTAAAAAATATAACAATGTATGCTGCATGGGAGCAGCATGTGCAGCAGAGTCATTGTGCAATTATGCATGTAACACAAATAAGTAACACAAAATCTAGGACACTTTAAGCATTAACAAATGCAACAATATAATAAAAGAATATAATGTATGCTGCATGGGAGCAGCATGTGCAGCAGTCAACAGTCATTGTGGAATTATTCATGTGCAAACTGAGAATGTAAACAGTACATCACATATTTCCTGGTAATAAACTCCTCAGCTGTTTAGGAGTCTGATGGCAGAGGGAAAGAAAGAGTTTTTCAGTCTAGTGGTCCTGCATTTAACACTTCTGAACCTCCGGCCAGAGGACAGGGAGGCGAACAGTCCGTGCTGGGGGTGGGTGGGATCTTTGAGGATGGAGGCAGCTTTCCTACGCACCTTGCGGTGGTAAATGCTCTGCAGAGAGGGCAGTGGAGTCCTGGTGATCTTCGCCACAGTCTTTACCACTCTCTGCAGGTGCTTGCGGTCCATAGCAGTAGTGCTGCCATACCAGACAGTGATGCAGCTGGTCAAGATGCTCTCAATGATGCAGCTGTAGAAGTTGCAAAGGATCCTAGGCGACATATCAAGCCTCCTCAGCCTCCTCAGGAAGTACAGCCACCGCTGGGCCTTCTTGACCAGTTGTGTGGTGTTAAGTGTCCAAGTGAGGTCCTCACTGATATGGACGCCCAGGTATTTGAAGCTGCTCACCCTC